GCAATTTTATTTAATAAACAATGAAAAAACTTAGTGTTTTTTAAATAATCCTATAGAATTATGTAGCAGAGAAAATTATTTCTTTTCTTTCTTGTTTTATTTGATGTAAGTGAAACTACGAACAAAATACACAAAAAAATTTATTCACCACATAAACTTTCATTGGATAATATTCTTGCTTTGCGCTTGCAAAATAACAGTTATAATATTTATTTTCTTATGAAGATCCCACATATTAACATACTTATAGCAACATTCACGATCACAGGAAGGTTAAAATTTTGGAATAGAAAACTTATTTACCATCGAAGAACTTGACACTTACTTTGGTGTTCCTACAAATTAAACCTATAGATACACACATGAGTATTATATATGTAAACTCATAAGATATTGGGTATGCATGCATTACATATTAATATAACATCCACTGAATATTACACATCATGGAACAGATAAGTTGGACCATATTAAATCTAGTCTTGATTATAAAATATTAATATTTAATTTTATTTTGATAATACTTAGACAGAAACAAAAAACCTTTAATACCAGTCGTATCTTAGTTATGGATGATCGATATTAAAAAATCTAAAATATCCATGTGTTATAAATATTGAAAGCGTGTTAGAAAACATTGATATTAGAAAACATCCATGTTCAAACATCAAAGCATTGTTTGGAATGGTCTGCAAATAAAAGTAAATTAGATAAAAGTTGCTGGTGCTGACCGACCCAAAAACACTCTTTCTGAAGCTTTTGAAATTGTTGCTCATCAAAAACATTTAATCATTACATTCTTCAAGATTGACTATTTGGGCATAAAAACCTTTAACTTTTTTAGCTAAAGCTTAATTCTTTTTACGAAAAATTGTATAGCAATCTTTCTGTTTACTTATCAAAAATTTAGTCAGAAAAATCTATTGTAAACTAAATCCGTGTTTATTTAACAAAATATTTGCATAAAGAAATATCGATTATCCGGTGTTATATTAATTACATTCATGTATCAATGTTTTTGAGAATTTAAGTCATCGACGTTTATCCGCTGAACATCAATTTTTTATTGAATATCGACAATCCATAACTTAAGTATTCTAAACATATTTTTTTTGAAAATCATTGTATGCAATTTCAATTGATGTAGATGGAATATATAAATATGGTCCATCTTTCTGTAACACGCACACATTATATTTCGGCGTATCCATAGAAGCTTTGAGCAAAGTTACAACTAAACCATGTAAAGTATTGACAATAAAAGACTTTGTCATCACGTATAATTTTCATAAGTATAAAATTTTACTGACAATTCAACTTGAAAGTCATTCACCAGAACGTTTTAATTTAGGCTACATTTATTCATTATATTAACACCTAAGTTGTAAGAAGATTCATTAAGTATCAGAAGACCCATTTCATATATATATATATATATTTACTTATATTATTTAGAATGTAGATAGCAAGTGCTCATACAAAAGGCGCTTAGTATTCAGACTGGAGCTCGTATGAGGAGTAGTAACATGTCCAACTAATAATGTTCAACATGTCCAACTAATAACTTTATAAAAACACCCGAATCCATACAATCATATTTATAGAGCACATTGAATGATCTTTTGAGGATTAGATGAAAATACTTTAATGTTATAATCTGATTACAATCATATATTATATAATATACAGCTAAAGGAATCTAGCAAGTGATGTCGTCAAATTAAATGGGTTAAATAATTATGTAAACACAAAAGAAATACAATTAGGATAAAATGTACCTTCTTGATGCAATTTACTATGTTTCTTCTCATTGAAACATTTTTGTGTAAATCACGTAACAGAGAACTTGTATTTAGTTCTACGCGTATTACTACTGTTGACTGATTGGAATACAAAAATACCTCATTTCTACAATGTATGTCCATAACAGTATTTATCAGAAATATTTTATTATTATATTGTTTTTAGGATTGGAACAATATTGTAGAAATCCAACCATTGTAGTTAAATGTTTTTGTAGTCCAAACGCCTACAGTAGATTTTACTTTTCAACTAATATACACTTATTGTAACACACTTTATTGTATTATATTGAACACTGGAATGATTGTTAAAACGTGTTTACATTACAAATAAACTATTTACTACATGCGGTAAAATAAAGGGTGTATTTATGTCATCAAGTAACATTTTTGAGAGTTGTGAGTGAATCAATGTAGATAGGTAGATATAGGTATGTTTATTAAAGTTTACATGGTTTCCTCGTTACACCAACATAAGCTGTAAATAAATGTTTGTTAGAAACCAGAAAAATAATAGGTAGTCCATTCTTAAGAACCCATATAAATTTATCTGAAAAAATAAAAACATGACATAAATAAGGGTATTTAATTGGTTCATATTTTCTGTTTATTGTCTTTATAAAATTGTGTGGTTTAAAAGATATTGAGTATACATTTAAAAAGCTCCTTAAGACAGAACGGAGCGAAATGGGTCTCACGGTTTCAATGCAACAAGATAAAATATATGTATATAAAACACTTACCACTGGGTATAGAAGTTAAGTTTTATAATTAACACAACATACAAATATGCCTCAGAACATTAGTAAGTGAAACTGACCAGACTGCATCGATACTACAAAATTTAAAAAAGTACATCACGTCCAGACTTTCTTACGCTTTAAATTACCAGGTCTTTTCTCACACGTACTATTTTCTAACTTCTTTTATATTGTTGAATATGATTAAAATGTTAAGTAAAAAGCACTGATATGTAAAGGTAAAATAAAATGTCTGTAAACCGGCAAATAGTCGGCAAAATGTCAAATGTCAATGATAAACGACTTTCCCTTCAGGGAAAAAGATGTGAGTGAATGCATACTCATACTATGGATATAAACAGGTGATTGTTAAAAACAGTGTTAGTTTCATGTAAATAATTACCTTACTATAAAGCTTTGGAGTTATTTGTGGCACGCGTGAGTAAAGCCGTCAGCGTATTTCAGACGAAACACAATAGTCGTATAGTGCGTCACGTACTCTTGATAGTTGGTCAGAACCGTGTAATAAATACTTGTAAAAACTAATATATAACACTCAGTTAGACAAATTGTTTTACAAAAAATTATCGACTACAAGACAGATAAAGCATTAAACAACATTCTTGGGATCATACAACACTTTGGCATTTCGACATTTTGATTATTTAATTTGTCTACATTCTGGGTGAACATAAGTAGACATCGACGATATTTTGGGGTACAACAACAACACGGCTAAGACGTAATAATAATACAATGGTAAGTTTTTAAGCCTTGATACCAATTTATTACAAGTACAGGTCATGGATTAATGGCAAAGATAGATAGCAATTCAGTTTTTATACTTTTGTAGAAGTTACTCGTGCTTTGCTGAACAAGATTGACTGAATCGAATATATTGATGTACTTATGTTGATAATACAGATAATGACAATATAGAGAGAATTGGTTTTTTATTTTGCCTTTTAAGAAGAGTTAAATCACAGGAGCAATTGAATAAGTTTTTATGGACTTGTAAATTGTCCTCTGTATTATTGAACATTTAGGGCAAACCAATTCAAGATCTACATGAGCAGACCTGCAACACCTAAAAGTCAAATATTTATATAATAATAGGTAAGTATAATACGTCTGAAGTAAAACGCAATGGCAAGCAAAGTCATTGAACTATTCAGGAATCTCTGTCGAACTAAAAAAAGGATCACAAAAAAAATTAGTTGTAAGTTTTTAGAACTCACCAAGAAGCTTGGGGAAATGCTTGTCTTTCATAATATTTTTAAAGGTTATGGTACGTTTAACGCAATAGACTTTTCAATTTTATATTCTTGCATAGATTTCTCTGCTTTGTATTCAGAGCTTAAATTAGTGACGAGTTAAAGCTTTGGTGATGATAAAAATTGTGCGAAAGATGAATTTTGTCACCAATTTCCTTGGAAAGACATATACTAAAACACGATAAACCCATCTTAGCAAAGTAACACATTTCTTTTAAAAATTGTTACCTCAGGGTGATAGTTACACATTTTAAGTAATATTAATTTCTTTATAGGAATCAATCGGGAAAATTGGTGACAACTCTTTGCTTATCTCGAAATACAACAACAGTAGGTATACATATAGGTTTGGTTCTAAAGTAATATTTCACACATTTCACAGGGCAGTTGCAGTTATTTATACATACATACACATGAAATTTCAATCTAGTCAGTGTTAAGAGAATAATAAACCATTGACGTAAATAGTTAATTTCGTACCAGTAACTGTATAAACTTTGATATGGTATGTAGATTGTAAATCAATTTGAGTTACCACTAAAAAAGGATCTTACAACATTTTTTTTTCAATGTATTTTTACCCTACGATATTATTATTTTCAGGTGGCTATAGTCAGTTAACCTGAGAAAAAGAACAAAGCCTAGTTACGCCAATGGTATACTTACACATAACTCCGAAAACATCTTGCATCACAGTTGCTAAGAAAGCAACAGTGTGTACAATTTTTATAACAGAACACATGTAGTCTACAACACATTATATTAGCACTAATAGTTAAATGTTTACACTCACTGCATTGTATACCAATAATTTTAGAGTTGTTGGATCCCTAAGGGTAAATATTTATTTGTGCTAGGTTTAACATCTGTATAAACAATTCATTGTTCTAAATCTTTTATTGCCGACTATGAACATTTTATTATTCGCAATTTTGGTACCAAAAATAGAGATGATTATGTTGAACACATCTAGCTAGATGTAAAAAATATAGGTATCAATGAACAACAACAAGGAGTAGGTTTCCGAGAAGTGTACAAATATTTCTCGCACCTCTACAGTACTTTAGTACATCTATAACAATAATACTTTTAGAAGGCGTCAACATACCACAATATAAGAAGGACCCAGCCCAGTCACTCGTCATATCTATCTAATACACTGATATATGTCACAGCTCCATGTTTTATATACCGTAGTCGAAACTTTCGAACTCCGAAAACCTCGAATCCTGCTTTTGCAGCCGCTGTTGGCAGGCCTCTATGTAACTGTCCTGAATTCTGTACATTCCCGAGTTGGCTTGGTACATTAATGTCTCGAGAATCCGCTCGTTCTTTATAGCCTTAGACGGGAGCACCACTTTTATCAATTCCTGCGGTGAGATCCTGTACAGTTTTAGGTCTCTAGCTAATCTCTCCATAGTGCATTTAAATTCATTTTTGGCATCAGTCTTATTGGCGGACTTGGATTTAATTTTGTTCCGGGCCCAGCTGAGCATCGCTTCAAATTTCCTCACTTCAGGCACCTCAAGGTTTCGACACATAATCATTTGGACCATTGATTCGGAGAGGTTAAGAAACTCAGGTGTTTGGAATAACGCGTAAGCTCTTTGCTCAATAAAGGCCAGGATCATATTAACCAATTCCGAGGCTGACGTATATCGCCAGTAGTAGTTTTCTAATGATATGAGCATCGTGCATACCTAAAACAGTAAAAAAATATCTATAAGTATATACATTCGTTAAAAATAACAGACAAGGACACGTAAACATGTGTAATTCATTGATGATTCATTCACATTATGATTAAACCATACGTATTTTTAATCGTCACAACAAACGTCTTTACATTCAAAATGTTTGGTGTTTACAAAATAAACGTTTTGATTAATTAGCCATTTAATTAACATTTCGAAACCTTAGATGGTTACTTACCACTTCTATTCTAAGAAATTGTTTAGCATGATGGAAACATGCTTGCAGTAATTCGGGTAAGTCGTAATGCTCCGCTGCACAAATGAGGCCTGGTATTGAGGCACACGTCAGTGGACAGCTGCCGGTATGCAGATAATCCAAGAGAATCCGGAAAGTTTCTGGGTCGAATTCTATTATTGAAAACTGAAAGCAAAAAGAACTATAGTTATAGTTCAGCTGTGATTTATTTTGAATTGGTATTGTTGCAATATTAATTGTACTTTATTCACCTCTGTTTGTGCCAGTTTAGCGCGATCAACTTTTTGTGCGTCTGCGCAAACGGAAAGTCTGGGTACTGCCAGTGCTGCATTTTTCTCTTTTTCTTTGTCTTTTCCTTCTTTATCTGAAATGAAATATGTATTTTTATATTAGAAAACATGTCAGTTAATTGTAAGGGGCAGTAGTATTTAATTACTTCAAAACCAAAAGTAAAATTTAGATAAAAGATACGGAGGTAATTGACTTTCAGCTTGGATATTATTGGAATGGCCCTATCCGCGCAAACTATGGAGTATAGAGGCAAAGAGAACCATCTTCTAAGGGGGAAAGTTGAAAAAGTGTCACCTGAAAAGTGTGTACTGAAAATAGAGGTCCCTGGCGTATGAAAAACTACGATATGAACATAGCTGTTGGAGACGGAGTGAAGTGTGCTGATATAAAATATTATTCTTAATACTTTTATTGTCTGAAAGTTATTACAAGTTTATTTATTATCACCAAAATTCATTGACTATTTTCGCAGTCTAGTACACAGTGTCTAATTATTATTTAAGCCAATATAAACTTATCCTACGGATAATTTTCATACACAGAGATGGTTCTCTTTGCCTTTGTAGGGTAGACCTCCATTTTTTTTATCAAACAGTTTTGATAAAAAAGCCTTTTTATTTCATATACTTCTGTTGTTAATTATGTACTACTATTATATAGCTTTCAATTTTGAGAATATCGCCTGTTAAGTAAAGATTACGGTTGTAGTAGTACTGCGGGTTCAGAAATATTTGTTAGGCGTTATATCGGTAAAAATAATTTCGTTAACGTAAATGTTATGTTTAAAAACGGTCATAATGATATTTATTGTTCATATTGCGCTTTTATTTTCATGTTTATAGTTATAGTATAGGTGGGGTCTAATGATATGTAGTTTGACTTACAAAACGTTTTTATGCTAAGTTTTTAAAGGCATTGCGATTGTTAAAAATTTAAATATTTCTTCTTAAAGTTAAAAATAAATAAAATGCTTACTTGAACAATCTTGAGAGCTGGCCCATTTCTTTTTATCTTCTGCATTGAGTTGCGAATGTTGTTTACGAATGGATCGACCCCAACCAGCCGTGATGGTCCCCAAGCGAGAGAACGCGCGTTTCACCATTGGTGAACTGGGAACACTTTTTGGCCTAAAAGTTTGAAAGTTGAATTATTATCTATTGTTTAAAGAATTGATATATTTAAAAACTGTTTAGCTGTCTCATATTTATTTGGAGAAATTTCTTGATGAGTAGCTGTTTTAAAACTATTGTAAAAGTGTCTCATAATAAACATATTATTGTGATATTTGTCCTGTTTCGATTGCTTCCTGTTAATGTATTTTTTATATTAAACGAAAGGCTTAACAAATTTGATGATCTGCCTATCATTAAAATCAATAACGACCTTTTAAAGAACTCCAAAAATGAGATTTACCTAACATCAAATGTTACATCCGTGTAGACATTTTGTTTAAGGAAACATCTACAACTCTTACCTCGGCGATTCAATATCAGGAACTTGCAAGAAGTTGCTACTCTTTTGCCGAGCTGGAGTCGGAGAAAGCAATGTTGGTGCCGGTCGAGCCAGAAGTTCTGCAACTGGAACTTGAGGAGATCCGAATCCTGTTTGTATGCCGTATAACATTTCTTGAAACACCCTGAAACATAAAGTTTTCTTTGTCAGTAACTAGTGATTTTCAAATAACTTTTTATAAAAAAAATAGTGGACAAAAAAGGGTTGCAACTAAAGACATATATGCATTTGTTTTCTAATTATATATAGAAAACTTACCTGTGGTTAAAGGCTGAGAGGAATATTGGAATGAGAGTGCTGTATGGATATGGTGTACAGGAATCTTCCTCTATACCATATCCATACAGCACTCTCCTTGGGATCTCCCAAGGACGGAGGGATTTTACGAAGTATAATAATATAAAACATTTAGAAATGACGTGAGTACAGAGAAGAAGGCTAGTGAAATCATATTGAGGAAAAAGCAACAGTAGCGGCTTTTCGTAGTCGGTTGCTAATATATATATTTATTTTATTTAGAGAGCTGATCTTGTTGTATTTTCATATTTATTGACATACGAGTAAGAATAGGATAAATTCTTAGTATTATTTAATTTTTATACGCCTACCAGTAATTTAGCATAACATTACATAGATACATGCATGTTGTCGATGTTGTAGTTTAATATAATGTACTTATAATGTAGTATCTCAATTACCTGCTCCTGACACCAAGAATGGCTCTAACACCAATGAATTTGGTCTTCTGCTTCGACTGCCCCACGAGAAAGACTACGTCAAACAGTTGAGCATTCTGCGCAACGTTCAGTTCACTATTCAGAAAGACTCTGGTAAAGTCCTTGGCGAGTTGATCGTAGTCTTCGAACTGATCGCGTACTGAGTCTAAGAGAGGTGAGGAAGGTCGCATGTGGCCGATTGGACGCCACGAACCTAAAACCAGATTCAAGTGTTCTTTATTACTACTATTGGAACTTTGAATTATGATGGCTGTATTTGAATTCGTGTGATTCCTTCAACTCTAATTTTGCCACTTTTCAGTTCCTTAAATTTCGGATTTACTTTAATTAAGCTTAAAGAATCATACAAATATACTTCTTGGTCTCTTTCTGTAGCAGATGACAAAGTTGTAAAGGAAATTCAACCTAAACAGTTTTGATTCTGTGCAGTAAGGTTTTTTAATACAATATTTTTAGATACCCGATTGATTACATCTGAATCTTAGCTTGCAACTAGAATTGTCTAGAAGTAAATAATAGGTGCAATCTATTTTGACCAACAGAACGAGTTTTTAAGTTTTTGTTAGAACATAAATTTGTCTAATAATTTGTAAACATCACAATTTAATACTTTCGTAGAGAATGTGTTATGCATTCTAAATAATTTCCAAGCTTAATTACCTCTACGATAAGGTTTAGGTATTTGTCCAGTTTCAGCGTGGTTTTGTAAATTGGCAACAATATCTTCTAACATTTGACTGCGCGTTCTTTCCTGCATCCTGGCAAATTTAGGCGCTGAATATGACGCCCTTTCGCCATTGACAATCTTTGTTAGTAACCATTCCCTGGAAAATAAAAGATTTAAAATTAATGTTCTATTAAAGTTTATATTATGTCCAGCTTATTTCATTATTAACCTATTTCTTAAAAGGAGGAAGAGTTCTGTTTTTATCTAGGTACGTACGTTTCCTTGACATTTTAGGGACAATAATAATTAATTTAAAAATTGATAAAATATTAGCAAAATTTCTACGCACATAGGCATAATAGTAATTTTGAGAAAGCTAGTAGAAACCTTAATAGGTAATATGCGATAACAGTCGACCGCAGCATGAAAAAATGTTATGTTTCGTTGCAAAGTATTCATGTAACTCTTATTTGTATATTGTATTCGCTTAATGAATGATACTTCTTAATTCTTAAATGTTATCTGTGGTATTCTTTGAGTTTATTTTACAATATTCCTTTTTACTCAATTACTATAAGTAACCTCTTATAGAGTTTCTAACACGTTAGTAAATTTACTTCCTTTTTATGGTAGGTACTTGTGTATAGCTGGAAGTTTATCAAGTACTATATTGATAAGTAAATTATCAAAACATTTAATAATAATGTTTGATAAATTAGTCCTTTATTAAATTCGAAATTTCAGTGCGTAAACATCTTTTTTAGAACTTTACTAATTAGTGAAATTTTAATTATTTAAAGTTAAACACTTTATAAGGATACCGAGTATATAGTTTAATTTGCCATATTATGCGTTTCAAAGGCCTATTGGCTACGACGCGATAAAAACCTAAGTAAAAACTTAAAAAAAAACTAATTATAATGTAAAGCGATTTTGAACTTAGATATACGTCTGAAAGCCTCAAGTGTATAAACTAGAATATAAATATGTATATGAGTAAAGCTTACCTGAACATAGGTCCTTTATCAAAGACACTTTGCTCCCAAAGATAGGGTTTGTAAGCACCTACTTCATCCCGGGTAACTACGGACACTTCGTATCTGGTTGGACGACGTTTGATTTTGGCCGAAACTCGCACTGTGGAGCAATTAGATAATTGGTTTTAAAAATTGATTAGATGCACAAAGTAATTACAAATTTACAACATGTCACTAGAGTTCCAAGTTTACGTATCCGTATTACCCGAAGTTACGATTAAGTTAAAGGACTTGCCAAGAAATTAGGAGAACCTGTTCAATAAAAAAGTAGCTAAAACTTTCAAGACAGAGTTAAGTTAGTAAACTTCTAATATAGGATGTTCATTTACCTAAGATAAAAGTGTGCAAAAAGTGACTCTTGATACATGCCGGGGAGAAAGCCGTGTTGTCCGCTTCTAAGAACACGACACACACTATGTCGTTGCCTATATGTCGTTTTCTTTGTAGTTTTTGAGGGTCGTGTCGTTCGTAGGGCAGCAGAGTTGACACGTGGAACATTATTTCTATGCCTCGCCAGTTAGTGTATACGGAATACAGGCCAGTGAGATCATGAACTGTGTCTAAACCACCTTTGTACTTGTCGAAGCCTGTAAAGAAATGTAATATAAGATAATGGATTACAGTCGTACTTCTATGTAGCGATCCAGTTAACTTGAAGCTATTAAAACACCGTCCGTTTTTTTTAAATAGGAGATATTCCAAAACCCGCAAACAATAAAATGAAAGCCTTAATTTTATGGTCTTTTAATTAAGGAACCGAAACGTTGTTCCTTTTCCATGACTCCTGAGTAACGGATACGGTTAAACGCCAATGCATAAATTACTGCCGTTCTAGAAGTTTTATTATTGCAAATAGATTCAATGCTGAACTTTATGATATATATGCGTTTGATACTTACCCTTAAGTCTGACTTTCTCCCCTAAAACTTGTAAGAACTCTTCGAACATTGGTGAGTTTTCATTATTGTCCAGAATTTCTTCCTCCGTGTACTGGTTCTCCTTCACGTAAATAACGCCTACTTTCAGCTCTGACTTTATGAACACCTGTAAATTATTAGAGTAGAGTATTTAATATATTAAGCCGTGTCCGTGTGGTGACGGATTAAGAATACGGAATGTCACTACCCCTATTCATCCCGTGGGTTTCGTAAGAGCCGACTAAGGGAAAAAAAACTATGCAGGCCAAGAGCGCTGCAAAGAGAAGGAAAACTTGACACAAAACCTATACCAACCCGTCTGGCCAGCGTGGTATAGTAGGCCAAAATCTCCTTTCTAAGGAGAGGCAGCCTTTAATAGTCCACTGCTGAACCTATGTTCATTATTAAAGGCTGTTGATGATGATGATGATTTAATATATTTGAGACATCTACTCTTACTGTTTATAGTTTTAGGTGAAGCTAGGAAAGTACTTATATGCTATAAAAATGATGGAGGTTTTATTTGTTATTGTTTGAATTGAGTTATTTACACTCATTTTCAATCATGATATTAACCATGCCCGCTTATTTTATTTTAGGGGAAAAACGTTCGCTCTTTAACATGATTGCGGCCAATGTGCGGATCGAGAGTGCGTGGTACTGCGCCGTCTCCTTCTGCGAGCAAGTTATGCTTGCGAAGAAGATGGCGGAGCGGGACCGGAAGTGGTTCAGAACTCTCCCGGCCCGCCAAGCTCGGGAACGGGCTAGGTATCGCAGACGACTCAGACGCCGGCGGTCGCATAACTACCTCTGTCCTCCATAAGCGCAGGCCTGGGGGTGACAAATTAGGCCATCTGTCATCCTAGCAGAAGCAGACTGAGGTGTCAGCGCTGCAGAGCGTGCAAGCCCTTCCGTGAGCACAAAAGGAACATGGGGGTTCCTACACAGGAGGTGGTCATCTACCCGCTGTAGATGGCCCGAGGTACGTCGAGCTACCAGGGATTTTCTTTCTAGGATACACTTGGTTCCCCGGCTATTGATACCCAAGATGGCATGCAGTTTTTGGTCGGTTCGAGTCCGATATCACCACCGGTGGGTGGTATCCGAGGGGATTTCCGCACAGAAAAAAAACAAGAAAAGGGGAAAAACGTTGGATTTACTTTTTTTACTCTTTTAACAGTTTTACATAGAAATAGACAATTTGTAAAGTGTGACAGTATGATACAACTATACATACTTCTTCCGGGATTTACAGACGGAAGTATGTAAAAGAAGATTTTTTTTCACCCTATGTTTTGTTTTACTCAAAACTAGGTATTCTGTTTTCCATATTATTTAACAAACTTATCCTTTCTCTTAATGTATTAAGCTAGAGGAAATATCGCAGGAATAATCTTTTAAGTCCAACAAACAGCGACAATCTTGGTCACTCCAAAAGCTGCGTTATTGCGCGTAAAGTACAAACAAGGAAGTAATTTGTTGAATGAAGTCTTTGATCGGTAAGTCAGTGCTTTGATTGCAATGGACCTTGGGGACGTCGCTCATTATCTTTCCCATCTTAGTCTTTATATAATGGTCCCTTATCTACGGTCAGTTTTACGAGAAATGTTTATTATTTTTTTATATTGTAATAGTCAGGATTCTTCCAAAGTATAATTGGATTTCACTTTGACGATCTTTGTTACGTAACAGTAGAGCATTCCAATGCAACGTCAGAGGTTGTGAATTAGAAAAACTATTGTATGCATGACTTATTTGGATTTTTTTTACGAAGAAAAGTAATATTTCCGCTTTACACCTAACTTTATTCACAAAATCTACATTTATACATTACCAGCTGACCCGCGCATTTTTGTCTACGTCTCTCAAAAGGAATAAATGTTTCCGCGTTTTCGCAACATTTATTCTGATGCATAGGACATTGGGCCTACACTAGACAAATGCAAGATTATAAGATTTTAACTCCATTAGGTTTTACTGTAATATTTTTCGTAAATTAGTCTGAAATAATAAAGTACCTGGTATTATCATATCTAAAAACTTTGCGCGCACACCAAACATCTACAAACTCGGAGTTCATAAACTGCTGATGCAAGACTTGACTGAAACATTACGACCCATCTTTTTGCTTACAGTTGGTTGCTACCTGAGAGGTTTAATTCACGTTTTGGGCTGAGCATGCATACTAAACAGTTGGACCCTTATATTTTTTTGTTAAGTTGTTTGCGAGCGTGTGCCTTATAAGATTATTTCCTCTTTTTTATGGCATAAGGGCCAATCAAGCAGACTAGTCATCTAATGTTAAGTGGCTAATGCCGCCCATGGACACCTGCAAATCAAGAATCACAAAGTATACTAAACGTGGGTTTTCTGTGAGGTCCGGTCGAGCCAGCCCATTTGTACCACAGAATGGATCTCCCACGGTTATACTCGTAAATTTGTAAATAGAAGAAACACTTTTGATTTTTACCACCCCTCTTCGAACTTTAACCTTCTTTTAACAATAAAACAATGGTTGATTAACATTGGATCAATAATCTTGTTTAGTAATGGACACATGTCATGTTTTAGCAAAGTCGATTTCTTCTTTAATATTTGTGTATTCTTGGCCATAATTAATGTATTACACTCCCTGTCTTTAATATATTTCGAATCGTTTTCATGCCACCATTGCCCACTGACCTCAACTTAGACCTATGTCGCGTTATGAGATGTCCACGCGTGGTCAGCAGATTACTGCTTGCACGTGTGACCCAGATAATGTCAGTTATGTGTCAGTACAATATCCCTTTGTACTGTGTCATATTCCACATGTCAATCTAATTCGAGATTTCTCTTATAATAATTGAATATGAGTATGAGTTCTACTACAAATATGCCAAATCCAGATTTTATTGGGTATTGTTTTCTATTTAAGAGTTTTTCTATAAAATACACCATGGAATGTTTCTAATGATATTGTGATAATTTGTTTTTTAGGAGAAGGAGAGGCTTATGACCAGCAGTAGACTATTAAAGGCTGTTGATGTGATGTGTGTTTTTCAGGATAGTTGCGGTACAAACTGCCAAAAAAACAACAATGTACACACGCCTACTTTGTGTTTTCGTGGTACGAATACTTTAACAACTTTAACAGTCTAATTTGTGCTGGACTATTCTATTATTAAAAACCTTTAATAATGTTTATTTCACACCAAATACACTAGGTCATAGGTGTCGAACTATTGATTTAACGCGGTTAGAGTTGTTAGCTATTTATAAAACCTATTCTACAAATGGTACAGGCAAACTTATTTACCTGGAGAGCTACCACTTTCCTGTATAGATCACCATCAGCTACATCTCACGTAAGCTACAAAACAAAAGGCTATGTACACATTCAATTTGACGAGAATAGGTACATTTTACGGCTGTTCTACTACCTAATAAAGAAGGCATAAAGTACTGTACATTGCGCCCATCCTCTATTCGTAGGTATGTTCATTGCGACTCACGAATATTTTATGTTCACTTTACCTTTTGTTCCTGTGATGAGGAAGTGCAAATAAAAATGCGGTGAAAGGTAGAGTACTATGGATAAGATTATGACATCAGATGTTACATTATTCAATCTCACATTTCAAAAATTTTTCATCTAAATTTTAAATATGATTGAAAGTTTATTCGTATCATTACTAAATTACGGAAAAAACAGGAAAGTATCTGAAATGCCCCACGGTTTAAACGTCAATATAAATTAAACGATGCTAATACATCACTTTTTCACATAATATAGGTAAGGTAAAAGTGATATCAATATCCGAAACTCTAAAAAAAATTGCTGATTATCATTTTAAACACGAAATGACGAAAAGCTGACGGTGCAGAATGAAAGCGTTGTTACGCCAAAAGAAATACATTTTATGACCCTGTTAACATTCACGGGAGACTGTCTGATAAGGTGTACGAGAAGTCAGGCAACGTTAATGTTTCCTCCAAAGCTTTTAAAAGTCAATTCTCAGTGTTTAATTTCGTTTTACATTTAGTACCTCTCTAACGTGTATGTCGTGATTATTTGCATTAAAAAAATTTTGATGGAAGAAGAATTGTTCCAATAGTTTATCATGACAGACGATATTTTATTCTGAATGCCTAATAATATTGAACTATTTTTTCTTGCTAATTCATCCACACTATGCTACTGTATTGTCCAATTGCGTTAACGTTTAATTATCGTTATGTAAGTAGAGCTTAATGAAAAAATAATAAATAATAGAATAGAAGATTGAAACGGCCTTCCTTTGTAACAGATACTAATAATGGTATTGGATGTTAGCTTTTCTAGGCTGCCTCTAAATCAATAAAATCGTTATCTAAATATCTTAGTGCTACTAAAGTTTTCTGAGAGCTTTACTAATGCAATCAGTAGATAAAATATGTGTATGTTTAGAAGAAAAAGATTACGAAATTACCAGTATATAGGTACATATATTTATATTTATACGCAAAGTTTTTTCAATGAATAATTTCATTTTAAACTAATACTTATATATATGCATGTAATATTGTAATTAATTTTTAACTAGCTGTGCCCTGTCAAGCTTCGCTGTAGCAATGTCACGTCAGTTTTTATTCATCAATGCAACTGATGAACAAAACTGACGTGCAAAATATATAAAACAATCTTTGATGCGGGTTGTATATCGTGTCAAAATTTGAGTTCAATCAAAGTTTTGAAGTTTTTGAAGCGTACCTAAACCATTTTTTTTATATAAATAGCTTTCTGCAAAAAATATAGGTACGCTGTTTACATATTACAGGATTTCTCATTATCGATTCTGGCTAAATTAGGTACTGTTGTCAAAAGTTTAAAAATATAATGTGGAGAAATGCATGTGTGTAATATCTGCCAACCCTATTAAGCGTAACTACGGGCTAGAAAAAAAAATGAGCTGAAACTGATGGTCAAATATTCTATTATTTATACCGTAATATTTTGGGATTCAATTATAACGGGATTATTGTAGTAATACTCGTAATAACGGATTTTCGAACGCTGCTACAGACGTGGTTATTTTTTTTGTTTATCTGATTCGTTCGTTGAAACAATTTTAATTTCCATTGTAAAATGTAATTTTGTGGGATTAATTCAATATGTTTACGCGAGCCGAGCGGGTAACGCCATGAAAGCCTTCATTCACAGCGAATCCGATATCCAATGGACGGTCAGCCACTTTTCACGTTACAAAGTTCCGACTCATAAACTTACTTTTGACATACGTAATGAAAATTGGCAGTTTAGTAGATCAAACAAACTTACCCTCGAGGTACATATTGTAAATTGAATCTTGTGCGTCAGAACTTTAAGTGACTTTTATTCAATTGTGCTTCAATGGCTCACGTTAACGGTATCGACATTTAAAAATACTTGTATATGAAGATGGATTTTTGTCAGATTGCTTTGTAATAGACATAATATTGGCTTGAAAACAATTTCAGAATTATATTTAATATCTTATGAAATCGGTTTTAGACGCTACATATTGTAGTAGATACATACACATTTCATGACACATAAAAATGTTAAGACCAAAACTTTGCGATGTAGTATATCTTATAATATTAAATTACACCTACTACGCACGCAGTCCCTGAGCCCACTCAGTGAAAGACTCTCGCGCGTCCTGTAAAACGTGCATTGTTTCGAACTTTGTAGGCCCATAGAATAACAACAGCGCATCCTAAGAACTATAGAGCGAGGACAATAAAGTAATGGTAAAACATTCAAGGCTCATAAGTGCAGTACCAACGTAATGTTCATATTCGCTCACGTCGGTTCTGTGCCTATGTGTAATGTTTCAGTCCATACACACACACACATTATAACCTGACAATACTGACTTATACGATAGTTGTTGATTGGTCACATGCATGTGTGCACAACACTAGATAAAATACATCTACTTACAGGTTTTCTTCGTATCGAACTCGATAGTAGAATATATCTGAAAGCGATGCTAAAATTCATTTTAATAGTCATTAGAACTAGTGGCAGACTTGTGCGATTAGCGAATTATACAGTAAATTGATCATTGTTCGCGAGTGGTGACATATCGATCCTCATTGACTGTTGACTTTTTGGTATTTTTTTTTATGACGGGATTTATATTTATTGAATACTGTTCCTTTAAAATGACTGTAGTTTACGGAAGATAAAGGGTTTAATATGTAACAATAAAATTTAATTTAAATGTAATATTTAAAAAAAAACTTAATAATAGCATTATTAAGAAAAACCCACGACACCAAAAAAACTTTAAAAACAACAACTGCTCATTGAGACTGTTCTAATAAGCCCAAACATGGTACTTAGGCTGTAATTTTCTGAGGAGTTAGCTATCTCGCAGACTACTTGATGCAGCAGCAAGTTCCAGGTTACCATGTCCTGAAAATACCATCAAAGTAACAGTATTTCAAATTTCAGATCAATCGGACCTGTCGATTTTAGTGATATCCCTTCATCACCTAGGAAGTGAGCTGATGATCTTCAAAATTTATAGCTAAGAACCATCTCGATCACATCGGATTTTGAACGAAAAATTGAAATTCAAATTGGTCCATCCGTTCGGGAGCTATGATGCCACAGACAGACAGACAAATACATAGATACACAGATACACAGGTTAAACTTATAACACCCGTCGTTTTCCGTCGGGGGTTAAAAAAATATTTAGTGTGATTTCAATTGTTATTAACTAACTAAAAAGTCGATGGCGCATGAAGGCCACTAAACCCCGTACGTTTTCTATAATTTTAAGATCAGGGGATCGCGCTGGCCATGGAATAACCTTAATATCCGAATGTTGACAATACCATTTACAAACAACTAGCACGTTATATAAGAGAGTGAAAGTCACTTTCACTAATGAAACAAAAAACTTACACGGGATAAATATTGTTCAGAGTAGGTGAAATTAGGTCGATCGAATCCGCGTAATTGGGATTTAGTTGGTAAGAAACCATTTGTTTCATATTCATACACCGCGCCGCTGAGACTGATTCATAACTAGCGACTAGTTAAGCAATCTTTTAACTAAAAATCTTATTACACATTTTGATCCAACACTTAAAAGATTATAAAATAAAATAATAACCACAGTGAACATCCCACATTAGAACAAAATAACTTACACTTAAGCGTGTTTCATTGGATTTATTATTCATTTCAGATAAATTAAGCCCACTGCTATGGAAAAAGTCTTTGTTTCAATACTAATATTTACTTGCATTTTTAATAACATTTGCTTGCTTTTTGAATACATATATTCAATATAAACATCGCTAGTAGCAATAACTGATTTTACCAACCGACGTTATAACAAAATTATTACAGCCAGTAAATTCATATTGTTTCAAATCTACTCTCAACTTTTAGTGACTACTAGTAAAAAATGACTTAAAATGAAATAAATTGTTTGACGTTCAATTAGTTACTATAATCATACGCATGTAGTCTGTGTATGTGTGTGTGATATACATTTATAGAAGAAGGTCCCAAGTCCAACTAGTTACAGTGCTATAACTTCGTAAAAGTGCTACTGGAATTATGACCGCGACCGTACATAATTATTTAATAAATAATGTTCAAGTAGTGTTTTGGCTTGCGATCAATATTAATCATTATTTATTTGTAGAGATAGAGTAGCTATTTATTTAAATATTTGGTACACCCATTCTATTATAAAAGACACATAAAAGACACATAAGTCAATAGTTTAGTTACCTACAAAAATAGTATTTTCTTTTGTTTTAAGTTGAAAAAGTTCCAAGAAATTCCCATTTAGTTTGCTTTCGTTATCATGCATATCGTTGCAGCAATGATACAGAGGTTACAGACATAACAGACTAATTCAAAGATACACTAGTAAAGTTTTCGAAGGTTCAGATTGAAATTAACTCAAAGTAATTAGTTGATTCATGCGTGTTATTTCGCATTTGAAAATCAAAGTTACAGCGTAATATTTTAATGCATCACATCATATATTTCATGTGAGCGTCAAGTTTGTTCATGAGCCTGAGAGCAGTAGTTGGGCGTCTAACTCGTCATTACTCCATTACCGTGATTAGTCGGAGTTATAGGGAGGTCTCCCCCTTGGGTGTGAGTGCGTTGAAGACGTCCCCCTACCTTGGCGTAGCTCGCGACTAACGGGCCTCATCAATGTTTCACGGCTGTAAGCGGCGGCATCGTTTATTCGTAATTGGGAACTGAAAAAACAATCGCAGCGACGGAGGAAAGGTTTTACTGCTAATTTACTTGCGATCGTGAGTTTGCGCTGTGTAGAATACCAAATGAGATAAGAGTACCGAATCGCGGATATCAGTTTGGTACACGGCTCTAGTGTTTGTTTTATTTTGTCAGAGCGTATAAACCCATGATTTGGCAGAATGCAAATTAATATTATAACACGTGTGATTTATAGAAATGTTACGTTCAAGTAAATTATGGACCTTATAACTTCCTTTGTTGAATTATATATCATGTTCTTTAGTGTATTAAAGTTGTTTCCTACGATTGCTGACATTTTCTGCTTGAAAAACGTTACATTTCTTGTTGTCTCCCTCAATTCTATTTGTCAAAGGTAAATAATATATTGGCTTTCTTTTCTGTTAAGCTAAAATTTGATCAGAATCGCAAACAAAAAAGAAAACAGAGTTTTTCATTACCACTTAAAGGTAATAATTATTAGATGTTCAAATTTTGTATCCATCTCACTGTCTTCCAATTCTATTTGGGTTGGATAACATTGCAAAAGGGCTGGATTTTTTTAATGACCAGCCGCTCACGTGGCGATAACCTTCCCAGGAAATGTAATTATTTTCAAACGGGGTAAAGGCAGGAGGTAGATTTGGTTAAGGAATTCTGAGAGGGCTACCAAAATAGGGTAATGGTTACTGCAAGTTTCAGTTTGATACCTGTATCTCCGTCCTGTGATTGTAGAGGCCACTATGATAAAGACATAAACTAACCATATGCCCAAAATAAAGCTTTAATTAAAGACGAGCTTCTGTAATTCCGGGCAGATCTTCAAAGACCAGAAGACCCCGGGTGACTTATATCAAACATTATCGCATGACTTCTTGTATCTATTATTAAGTCATAACACTTACCTGATCAAGTTTGAGTAGCTCCTCCGGTGTGTCAGGCAGCTGACCCAGCATAAGTGGCGGGTTGATGTTAACTTCCTTGCCAAGCGACCGCACCACCTCTTCTCTGTTATAGCGATCCGCAAATACGCACGATGCTGGGATTAGACCGTGGACGGTATAGCTTATTGCTCGCACTAAAATTCTGTAAAATATAATCTTAATGTAGTTCTATTTCCAGATATGACAGATTTAGAGACTTTTATAAAAGCTAGGGCAAGGTTTTAGAAAAGATTCATTTGCGATTGCATTTGCGTTTACGCTTAAGCGTATGTGTAAAAGTTAACATGTGTTTATAATGTAGCCTAAATGAGCTTGAATATATTCAAAAGTTAAAAGGACTATGGACTAGGGTTCATGAAAAACTTTACTTTATATAGAGAGTATTTAAAATAGAATTTAGTTTTGAAAAATTTCAGCAAAACATAAACATTACGTGAGCGTTACATAGGTGTCAACTATGGCAATGTTTTCAAATCACTTATGTTATTTTTTAATTCTGATTTGTATGCATTTAAATAAAAAAAATCTCCTGTTCACAAATTGAATTCACCTCATAATTCATGTACAACTTAAATTAAAAAGAACTTTATTCAGAAAGCGTACTATTATTGTATACCGGCTCTGGAATACTGGACAACTAAATTATGATAAAACTTAATACAGTATTTCATAGGTGTAGAATTCATAAATAGAGGACTTGAGTATTTTTCTAATGTACCTACTATTGATTAAAATTCATTTTTCGTTATGGTAATGAAAAATGAATTTTAATTAAATAGCACACACTTGAAACGAAAACGAAACTCTCTGCTAGTGTAATAGTTACAATCGTACCCACTAATAATTTAGGTCATTGAGAATACAAATTAAAAGGTATATTAGAGGCTTTTGAAAATTAGTTTGGCGCTAATACCTATCTTGATATGAAATGTAAATGGAATGTTGAGCAAAACAATATTTGTGTGCATGAACATTTAATGTTTGATTTGGTCTGGGTGTTTTAATGAATAATAAGTATGTATTTACAAAAAAAAGTGTATATGTATTTATATCAGTTGTCTAATAGCCATAGTACAAGCTCTGCTTAGTTTGGGACTAGATGTGTGAATGTGGTAGAATATTATTATTATGCTTGTTTGTATGTTTTATAGAATGGTAATGCATTGTGATATCTTTGTTATCAAATTAAATTAGTTCTGCCTGCGATGTCAATAGATAGTCGAGGGAGGTAATAATCGTGTATCTTGCGGCAAACAAAAAATGTGGTTATGACATGATAGAAACACAGTTTAGGAGGGTACTGAAATAATAATAATATTTCGGAGATCTGACACACAACGTCATCTAGTTTCAAACTTAGCAAAGCTTTTACTATAAGAGCTAGATTGACTGACAATATAGTTTTACATTTTTTTTTGTAAATACAAACATATTATATACAGGAAACACCCAAACTCCGAAACAAATATTTGCAGATTATACAAACCATTTGCTCCGACCCGGGATTCGAACCCCAGACCTCAGGGCCTCAATTCTGCTATTTTATGTTTACGCCAAGCCAGTGTCGATCGTACTCGATGGCAACTCAATAGCGTGTCAGTGGTATGACACTGGCTTGGCGTAATAGCAGAATTGAGGCCCGCACAACAGTCCCATACGCTACCTCTGCGCTACCGAGGCAGTCAAAATAGTTTGTAGTTTTAGTTTTATCGCGTTAAATTATTTCGCAGAAATTGACTTTATTTTATACTAGGCCATTATATTTTTACATGACTAAGTATATGTAAAAATGTAGCTATTTACTACATAATGTATCTCTGCGATATTTTTCAACAGATATTTTAGCAATGGATGACCTAGCAGATTGGCTAGGATTTTTTTCACAACACTTAGCTTGCAAAACTTGGAAAACAACTTTGCCTGAATCTGCCAATTTTATGTGCTATCATATGACGTCAAATAATTGCTAGTAACTGTACTCATAATAAAAATACTCATTGAGTTAAATTTTCCTGTACTAAGATCGAGTGTCAATGCACTATACAGGTTTGCCTTATACGTGCACAAAAGCATATTAATAAAGAGTATAATAAAAATAACTCTATCTGTTAGTTCAGTATTCTTATCAACATAGAAACTAGATCATCATATATACAAGTTAAGATAGGAATTTCAGACTGCTTATAGCTGCATAGACGCCTCTGACAGAGATAATCAAGACTATAAGTGGCTTAATAACGTAGTTTATGCAAACTAAGGTTAGTTTGGTGTCACTTGTTCACATCCAATACTGATAATATTCCGGAACATCTAATAGATAGTAATACTCTGATTAATGAGTGACTAATTAAATGTAGCAATGTTATCGAGGTTAATGGCTCCGTGTCCCCAATGTAAAGAACAAGCAATTAGTTACAGTATCCGGCTCGTCGTATAAACTTTTTTAAATTATTGGTAATAAAATACGCAAATAATCTTTAAATTGACTATGCTCTTTGTTTGTAAAAATGTAATAATGTTACAATAAATGTTAACATAAAATAAATCTTGTTTCCTAACAAACAAAGAAAAAAAAATTAATTTGTATAATTTTTTGCATGATGTGGTCGCCTGTTATTAAGGAAGCACACTAACTTGAACTTTGTAAACTTAATATCATTATAGCATGTAAGGTGTTGTTATTCCTTGTTGGTGATCCGAAATAAATAAATAAAATAAAATAAAATAAATAGAATAACTTTTAAACTAGGATTTTTTTATTTTATGTGGCATATGTTCAAATAAGTTACATTAAATACGCTTCCTTAAGAGCTATCTCAAAGGCGACGCTTCGAGCAACCCTATTGTCGCGCTGATACGCAGAACGAGTTTAATTCTACGTGAAGTACCAATTTTTCGTAACTATTTTTAAAAGGTGCAGGTTCGGTCGCCCATGAAAAAATGATCTCATCTCTTTGCAAGGGCACTCCAGTATCAGCTTCTCAATTCGCGTAACGGAGAGTGATTCGAATTGCCGATTACTTGAATATTTAGGATCGGCTAGACCCCTCTGCGTTCTCTAGAGTTGCAGCTTCACTTTGCATTCTCTATCGCTTGTATCATGAGAAGTGGTTGGACTAACACGGGCCGCAGCAAATTTCTATTCTCCTCGCTTGGATACTTTGCAAATTGTTCGGAGTATTTCAGGACAGATATGATATTCAACCTTCACTTGTGACCCTGGAAGTGCAGACGTCCATGACTAACACCGCCTATAGACGATGAGCGTAGTCACTTACCATCAGGAGCACCTCTTTTTCCACCTATTCAATTAAAAAGTACACCAAAGCGCATATTCTATTTCATTTTTATAAATACCGTTGCTTATAAGCGGTCCAAATACAAGAACAGTACCACGTTGCCAACCCAATCCTGTCTCGCCTTTATATGTTTTATATAACAGGCGAGTAGTGTATAACAACTTCTGTATATTTTAGCGCTGCGACTGATGGAACAGAAAACTGCCGCGACTTATCATCTTCAAATCAGCTAATACCAGTAGGTCATAGTAGTGCACATAATTTACTTATATTATATTAGGTTATGTTACAGGACGAGAAATGATCTATAGGTATACCAAGATTTATCATATGTTTTCTGCATTTTTCTTGAAACCCAAATATAAACATCACACACTACTAATATTCGTGTGGAAGTTAAATTCGCTAATGAATAAGTCTGTGAGAAATGAGTCATCTCATGAATTATTTACGTTTCAGCTGGTGATCCGACATTCTTGTGTTTTGTTATTATTGGAATCAATCACCATTGTATTCTTATAATTGTTAGTATTTTTCATGGAGTATTGCACTAACATTACTGCAGGCGATATTTTACAAAATTTCATGATATTTTTTTATTTTATTTTAATAATATCTAAACGCTCTAGCAGCGTAGTGTGGAAAATAAATATTTTAATAGTGTTGAGATTCGATACGTTTAAGGCAACTTTATCTTACGCTTAGAAATAGCGAATAATTTGGAAATCAGTTGGAATCACTATAAAATTTAAATAAACATTTGGATTAAGACAAATACGCGACAACCAATTTCGAGCAGCAATGAAAAACGTACATTTGAATTCCACTAAACCACTCAAAAAATTTGAACATTCAACATTTTTAATTAAATTCTCCCGTTGTCTCACTACGTTTCAGTTTTCCTATGACAGCGAATAATGAAAATGCCGGAATTTACGGTGAGCATCCGAGGCCCTCCCTTCGAGCAATTCCTATGTAAAAAGGAGACATTTTTGTGGCGTGTCTTGATTTTATATGATGTACTGTTTTGATCTTTCTGACTCCTTTTGAATGCTTTAGCTTTTGGCTTTCAGTAAGTCTACAAGCCATTGAGCTTTGAGGAAAATACTATATACTATAATTAAAAGGTATTAAATGACAAAAAGGTTTTTAACTTACATATCCGAAGCTACAATTTTACTACGAAAGGCGTGTATGAAACAATAAAAAGAGGGGCGAGTAATATTATTTTCTAAGTACCAATTCTTTATTTTATATAGCTTTTGCTTACACGTGTAAAAATAATTAATTAACGTGGGAGAGTCATGTATCGGTACAAATGGGCCGACTTGACCGGATGATACCACGGCTTCACAGAAAACCGCTGTCATGCATTCCTGGCGTTGCTTTTCACCGAGTAAGTGAGGTCCGTGTGGTGGATTCATAATACAGTGTGTTACCACCCGTATTCATACCGTGAGTGTCGTAAGAGTTAACTAAGGGAGTAAACTACACAGAACAATAGCACTGCAAAGAGAAAGAAAACTTCAAAAAAAATTGTCTATACCCGTCTGGCCATTTTGGTATAGTAGGCCAGCACCTCCTATCTGAGGAGAACCCTATGTTTAGCAGTGGGCTGTTAAAGGCTGTTGATAATGATGAAGTGAGGTGACCATAGACTAAGTACCTGAGGCGGCTAGTGGCAGACTATTTAGAGGAGCGTACCGTCGTGTGCGAGATGGTAATTTGAGGTGTCGGCCCATGTCATGTGGTGTTCCAACAGGGGTTTGTTCTTGGACGCCTCCTGTGGAACATAGGGTACGACTGGGCCCTTCGAGCTGATTTCCCCCCCTGTTGCTTCTGC